AACCTGCGTGTCTAACCGGAGCACCTGGAGAGAACCCTGCGCCGCCCTACTTTTAATGATAGGATTGTCACTGGACTTTCTGTATGAAATTGTTATTGGCACCTGCAGCAACCCGCTCCAACCAAGGCAGCCGCTCTTTTTTGTAACGCAGTGATAGGTGTAGGGATGATGTAGTCTATTCATGTGTGCAGAGGTGGTGCCATACACACACAAAAAGACTGTGTTTCTTGATAGAATATTGATTGAATAGTGATGTTAGGAATACGCCACATATATATTTTGTGGCTGTAAATGTCCGTCCGCTGTCATATTCTGCTGTTTGTTGCCACTAATAATCACTAGAAGAGTGATGTGGCGGTGTTAGTGAAGGCGAAATAACGGTTTGCAGAAAGCAAACCAAATAAATAAGTATTTAATCAATCAATTTAATCAAATCAACACCTCAAAGTCTTCAAGATATGATACATTTAAAGTGAAACAATAGGAACCCTGTGGTGTTACCTCTTCAGCCTCTGCTGCACACATTGACTCTTGCCTCAAATGAAACTAAACCGAACTGTGGTAAGACTTTACACTGAGTGCTGTGAAGCATCCTGCCTATCAGATCACAAGCTTTAAATGATTTGATAATCACCAGTAACAGTAATCAAACAGTATTTAACCCCCATCTCTGCATTTTTATTATTTTCTTCTCTAACGTTACAAAATCCTCATGCAATTAAAATGTGTTTCTAATGAATGTAATCTAATGAACGCCCTAAGAGAAAAACTATCCTGATTAGTAGCTCATAATGTCAGTTCAAAAATCCCATTTCCTCAGCCTGCAGCCATGAGCTCAAATACTGGAAGGTGCTACATTTCTAACACCTCTTAATGGCCCCCCTGCAAGGCAGCACAGACATTATGTCAAACGCACCTCATGCAGACAGACCGTCCAGCTCTAATGTGTTGCAGGTTTAATCTGAAAGCATGGAAGTCGAAGCAGCAACCGGATTGTTAACTGAGCACATGAAAGCCGCCCCCCCGCTATCAGTGGAACAGTCTTTGAGTTCCATGTTGTTGATGGACAGTGTGGGGCATCTTTAAAAAGAGAGGTTCCTCTTTTAATTTCTCAACAAATTTAGGGCTATCAGTCAATAAAACCTGGACCTGCAATGAAGTAAAAACCCTCCCCGGGCTCCTCTTAAACTGTCAAATATCACCAGTCTGTGATGTTCAGTGGATTTTAGGAGCTGTTACCTCTCTGATGCACTTTCTGCAGAGTCCCGAAGTTCCAAGGGATGATATTCTTTCAGCTTGTTCACAAAAGATAAGAACTCATGCAGACAGGATATGGATCTTAAAAAAGAAATTACAATCTTGTGCAGATGTCTGATAACATCTTAGATAATATTAGTTAGTGTGCCCACTTTGTGTGTGTTCAAAAAATGATTTTGAACGTCTTGCCACGACTCCCTTGATCCTGCCTCGTAAATTTCTACTTTAATTAGTCCTGCAGGGGCTAGATGGCTAACTAATAGGTGAATAGCTGGGTGTGTCAGTGATTGCAGCCTCATCGTGTGTTGTAAACAGAATGCAACGGTTGTCGGCGGCCCTCTTCACAGCAGCTGTGTCCGCCTTGTTCTGAAGCAGGAGACAATGCTGTGTTGTGGTTTTAGTCTCTGACTGCGTTGCAAAACCAGCGAAGTGGAGCAACAGTGGCAGAGTTAATTATGGTTGACACATCGGGAGGGGGGAGGGGGAGTCCTCATCCTCCCTGCCTCCCTCCTTCCTCCTTCAGGAGGAGTCTGACAGAAAAGGAGAAGTCACTGATGCGTGGATAGTAATGTAACATTTGCAATGAGAGGTAAGTGATCAATAGGAGTGAAAAGGGCAAAGTTGATCTGTGAATAAAAATGCACCTGGTCTGCATAATAATGTATATTATGCAGCTATAATGTGTTGGAGTGGAGACAGTCTTTGTATGCAGTCAGGGTAGACATGTCCTCATCCCTGCAGCCAAATGCCAAACAGGTCATTATGTCAAACAACATCGACAGTTTGCACCACGCAGCATGTGGCTCAAGACTCATTTGTTATATTTAGTTTTGCATATATGTTTACATCATGTCACAGACCCTCAATATACAATAGTGAGCATGCACACACACACTGTACGTTTGGCCTCGTGCTGGGCCGTTCCCAGGATCATGAGCCCTACAGTCATAAAGATATTAGAAGTTTTCAAGTGCAATTTATTCAGATGTTAATATAAATGTTTTCTGTAATTTCTATTTTTCAACAATGAAGACAAGAATAAAATGCTGGTGGGTAAATAGCAGAGCTGGATATCCAACTGGGCAAATCGGGAAACAGTTTCACCAAGTGCTGTTTGCCATAATTTGATTAACTGATCATTTGTTAGATAAGACTGCATGCACTACAAGACCCACTATATAAATAGAAATTATAAGCTACTTAAGGTGACAACTGCATTATTACTTCATCTTGTACAGGTGTAAAGCCTTTATTATTTCACTTTATCTTGTGTGTTTATGGTGCATATTCCTAAACACATTTGTGCTTAATCAACCTACCACAAGCTAATTACAAACTGATACACTGCACAGAGATCGGAGTAACTTGTGGGTCAACAGCTCATTTTTTAGAGGATCTTGATTTATTTATGTTGTTGGCTTAAAAGACGTCACATTTAAATATATTGTGTATAATATGTAAAGAATAGTGACCTCATCCTATAAAATACCCTGCATGAATAGTTTTTAAAAGTAAATGTGATTAAAATCCCCAGAGAAAATCCTGCGGATGTGACCTCAGTGTCCTCAGTGGCAGCTACGGCCCTGGCCTCCACGTCCCACATGGTCTTCAAATCTTTAATGCAGAATTGAAATATGATAGCAGCTTTGGGGAGATGGTAGGTGAAGTTAACGTTATTAGAAAGAATACAAATTAATTTTCATATTTTCTGCCACATTAATAAACTAAAATGAAATAAAAGCTAGTTCTAACTGGTCAGTTATCCAGAACCGTCTCTCTGGAGAAGCTGGACCCCAGGAGAGTTCGCTGCATGCTATGAAATTTCAACTAAAGTGCCACTTTATAACTCCGTACACCTTTCATGGCAACCACTTTGTTAAATGTTTATTTAACCTACAACACATTTCACATATCAGGCCAGGGGATATAATGGCCTTTTAAAAGTGTCAGTCAACTCCTGCTTTAGTGTTTGGTAGGAACTCAGGCTACTTCCCAGCAGGTTTAGAAATGAATTACGAATTACGCAAGGTCATACGTTGTCACATCACACTCCATAAAAATCTTTGCAGAAATCATTCCTGAGATAACTGGTTGACAGCTAATAAATGGCGTTGTGTCAACATTAGGAGTCCTTGCCAAACATGTAAATGGAGAAGCTAACCATCAATTTTCAACAATAAACAGTGACAACAGGGTAATCAAGCATGCTGCAGGGGTGTAATAGGCAAAGTTAAGAGGCAAGTAAAATAAGTACCGTAGGCTATTTGCCATACTTTAAATGTCTGAGTTAGTTACTGGCTTTCTTTTCTAATAATGGCCTTGAATAAATGCTCCTGACTTATGTTTCCATTAGCCTCTATATCTTTTATCATACGTTGTAATGTCTCACTCATTACACTGACGCTGTGGTGACTATACAGACCCTGAATCTAGGTGACAATGTCAGGACGTCTGTCTGCTGCTGGACCAACACTTCCGGCGAGAAGAGGCACGCGTCCAGCGGGTAACGTCAAGCTCTTGTGAGTTGTTCACGATAATCCCGGAAAGTAGGCTGCTGAACCCTGCAAAATAAAAGCACCGAACTCTTCAACAGACGACTCACGCTTTTGACCCCATCATATACGTGACATTTCATTACCCCTCAGTAGACGGTACTTTGGACATGAGCTTATTCAAAGGCGAATGGCATCATGTTAGAACGAATAAATATAATAATTTGAGAATTTTTCATTTGTTAAATATTTCAAAATCCACAAATGTTCTGCAAGTAATAAGATATATAATCCAACACAATGATCACTGATAATAGCTAATAATAATTTCATTTAAAAAAAGAAGAAGAAAACAATTGACCACATGAAAGGTGGATGACAATGATTGTATAGCTACTGATCAATATTAATCAAAATGTTAAGACTGGTCCGACAAATCTTCTGCTCATCTCTCCCACCATTCTGTAGACATTTTCTCACGTTGTGTCTCGTTGTCACTCTTTTTTTGTGATCTATTGTGTCTGAAGACGATATGTAGACCTGGTGTTGTTGAATAGTGTTGTACTTACTTTCGCTGCTCTGACTGTTGAGTCCTCTTGCATGCATCTATAAAGTTTATCTTATCTAGTCTTACCGTATTTTACTATAAATAGGGCCTATAATATAACCGCCTCCGTTTGTCTATGCTTTTACTTTTAAGATGATGACCGGAAGTTTGATTTCTTTTCATTGTAGGCGCTTTGACACTGGTGCGTCCAGGCGGCGGAGGCACACACACATAGGCTGTGCACACACACAAAGAAAGGTATCAAATACTAAATGTTTGTATTGCGGCGCATACTAGTGTGACAGTGTATGTCATTTGTTTCTTTTAGGGGATGCTGGGACTATAAATGTAACCGTGTGAACGTCAAAGGAGAATTTAAGAGTCGGTCCATCCTGTGACTGGCTGCACTGAGATCAGCTGTCGACGGATATTGCTTTAAAAATGCGAGGAAAACCTTTAAGCGAGCGGCGTGCTGTGTTTGTTGTGAATGTCGTAATTTGGGTTCAGCGCGTTGGAGGCAGTTTGACGGCGCGGTAGCACCTCGCTGACTTCTCTGGATGAAAGTTTCATTCGTCTGGAAATTGTTGAGGTGGAGTGCCGGGGTTCCGTGCCGACTGCGACATCGCCCCGTCGGTGCATTTCTGCTTTTCCACTCTGACCTTTTTCGACTCGATGGAGAGCAGAGGTCTCGTGTGTGGTCGTGGACCGCGCTGTGGTGGCACACAGAACTAGGCCTTTAGCCGAACTCTTTTACAAAATGATTTCCTTTGTCGCAGCCCCGGCATGGCTAAAAATAACGCCCCGGCTGCAAACATTAGCTGAGGTCAGAATTCAGCGTCAGGAAAGAGGAAAATGCTCCGCAGATAAACACGATAAATACATCAGTGACATCCACGCAGCGGCGATTTAAACCGCTAAAACGTTTAACCCGGGTCAACGTCTAGTCCAGGCCTGGTGGTTTAAACGACTGCAGCCTTTATGGAATCTCTGACTGCGCTGTGGGATTCGTACTTGCAGTCTACAGCCTCGACATGCACCGCTTTACGTATGCATTAGAAAAACACTAATGTAAAGGTCTCAGTGTCTTGTTAATAAAACACGACTTGGGCTTGTAGAAGAATAGGTGTAGGTGGTGCAGGTGTACCACCAGACAGCTGCACATTTCAATAAAATCTTAACCCGATTTGTTCATACAAGTGTTTTTAGTTGAAAAAAACACAGTAGGAGTAACTTGCAAATATTAGTGCAGCAGTTAGTGTACGGGATGCATGCCGAATTTAGAAGTGCGACCTGAAGATGTTTTCAGATCCCAAGTGTTGCACGCGCTGTAATCAGTGTCAGATTTTATAGGGCTGGATGTGGAGTAAAGACATTTGAGGGCAAAGGTGGTTAGGCATGTGCACCTTTTTCTGAATCTAGTGTTTCTGCTACCCAGGCTCGGTATGTCGGATGAAGATTCCCGTGCCAGCACCAGCTCTTCCTCCTCGTCATCCTCAACCCATCAGCAGCAGCAGCAGCAGCAGCACGACTCAAACCTCTTGAAGAAACGAGAAAGCAAAGCCAGCATGAGCAAGACCTCCAAACTCCTCTCTACTAGTGCTAAAAGGTAAGCTGGAGTCATTGTTTTTGTGGTGGGGAGACTTTGCTCATTACTGACTCCAGGTTCTAGTTTACCCTTTTGTTTTCCACCTGCTACAGTGAGTGGTATTAAAGTTTTACAGCTGCATTTTATCCTAGAGAATACTGGCGCTTATTCCCAGGACTGTCTTCAGTCTCTTTAGGGAGTATTAATCACTTTCCCCAACAGCTGGGAACAAGTCAGGAGGATGTCCTACTTACGAGCAGGTACCAGCAGTACATTTTCTTTTGAAAAAGAAAAGCTTTTCTTGACTCGTGAAGGTTTTAGTTTAACACAGGAAAAGGTTATTTTCCTCAAGAATTTATGGCAAAGCAGCCTTTTCTCATGTCCGTCAGGCCTCCCCTGCCTTGTGTCCAGGCCTTGAGTTTGCATTTACAGTCACTGATCAGAGTTTAGCTTTTGATGCGTGGCTCTTTGTGTGCTTTTGCAGAATTCAGAAGGAACTGGCTGACATTACGTTGGATCCACCACCAAACTGCAGGTAAGTGAACGAGTGCGCATCAGCATCATTTTAATGGGGAATTATTAATGTGTCATTAGAAACAGCTGGGTCACTGGTGTGTGTGTGTGTGTGTGTGTGTGTGTGAGAGAGTGAGAGAAATGAATGCAAGTAGTCCTTCATGTGGGCGTTGTGAATGTGAAGGTTGAAAAGCCCCTCTTTGCCTGAATGCCAGAATGGAAAAAGATCTTTTTGCTTCACTGGTTCGCATGTCTAGTCAGTCAAAAGAGAAAAACGATCAAGGTAATGAGAGACTGAACTGTGTGCTTTATAAAACTACAGCTAAATGTGCTTTCTGTTCGCCAGGCTTCAGACTTTTCAGTACATGGTAGACCTATTTAGAGAAACCTGAGTTAGGGTTATCTCTGTTTTTATATTGCTCTTTTCACATTTCAGTGGAATATTTATAGGGCTGAGTATTGCTCCATAATACTTCATTGGTACTGACTGAAATGTGCCTTTCAAACTTAAACTGTCAAATATCTTCTAATGTCTGGTCGGATCTGGTTTTCTTATTCTTTTAAGAGAGAGTTCCGTATTTCAATTAAAGTTTGCCAATTTTAGACTTCGGCAACGGTCTTCTACAGCTGCTTGTATTAAGGAAATGCTTCTACTAATTGGGGAAAAAAAAGAAGAAACTGCAGAATGTCAAACAAGACCTGCAGTGTCTTAGCAAGCTGTAGGAGGTGACTAGTTGGTGAGGACTGTTGCTGGAAAATGTACACCGCTGTAGCTAATTAGCTAACCGTTAGCATAGTGATGGGTTCTGTCAGTAAGAGACACACATCAGTGGTGAACTCTTTATGTTTTTGTATAGCGTTAGGTAATAATGAGTGGGACGGAACATGAGAAATGCCTATGTAAGCGCTGGAAACAAGTGTAATATTATAATTATTGAAATTGTGCTGAAAACCAGGACAATTTAGTGTTTTGAAAGATATTTTTGGGGGACTGTCGGTGCCTTTTATTTGAAATAGGACAGATGAGAGACAGGAAATGTGGGGGATAGAGAGAGGGGAAAACATGCAGCAAAGGGCTGCAGGTCGGATTCTAACCTGGGCACAGCCGCAGCGGCAAGGACTCGGCTTTTGTGCATGGGGCGTTCACTCTGGCGGTGCCATGTAGTGTTTTACAGATATTAGTAAAGACACGGATACTACTGGACCCGAATATTCGTATATTTGTATATTCAATCGTTGGGTACATGTTTGATTTTCAATGTTGGGATTCCAATATTGAATTATTTTCTTTTCTTTTTTGCACGCCTGACCACCGCCCACAGCAGTGGACTTAACGCTCCAGTTCACATCAAAGGGGAAACAAAACGAAGCCCTCAGCTCTGTGGGAGCACTTTAAGCTGAGTGATGGCAAAGTCCGTGTGGCAGTTATGGGGTTTAAGAACATTTAGTAGGCTATAAAAAAAGTGTTCAACACAACCTTTTGGTAATAATAACGTGCTGTTATTATATAGCCTACATGTAAATAAAGAAAGGAAGCGCACACACGCACACGTAGCCTACACACAGTCAGTGACCGCCGTTCCTTATCTCTCCCCCTTCAGGTTTCTCCCTCACTCATATCATTGCCAAAACTTTTTGGGCATTCATCCTTCTGTTGTCCTGCTTTAATGAACATGAAATACATAGCTGCATCTCGTGAAATTACAGCCTGCTTGCAGCTGGCATAGGCTAACGCAACTGGTAACGCCACCAGTACCGGCCAATCATCTTATGTGGTTCCAAATGAAACAATTGGCTGGCCTACCTGCCTTTCTCACTCTGCCTGTGCACTCACTGCACATGAACATGTGCTTTTTGGGGGGGGCTTTGGAGGGACAGATTGGTGACTCTGTAATGTAAATAATCTAGGTAATGTCCTTGGGTAAATCTGTGACAGGACAGCTTGGTAATTGTTGAAGAGTGGAAAAGACGGCTTGTGAGTCTCCCATTAAACGTTTAAACACTTGTTGTTTTAAGCTTATCTCCTTTTAAAACCTGTGAATCTGCACCCCCATGATTCCTAGCTGTCTGTCCTGTGAGTTTGTGAACGTTCGTGAACATCGTTTTAAACGTCATGATCATATGTGAGTAATATTGAGTGATGTAAAGTATGACACTAATGTCATATTCCAATAGAAATATGAGCTAAATGAGTAAATTCTTCCACAGAAAACAAGCCAGGTTCACTTAAAGCTTGTCTTTCCAGAAGGAACCCAGGAAGGAACTTAACAAGCAGCTGTTCTATTCTTGTAGAAACACATTTGTGATGGGAATATTAAATTGCCCAGCCCTACTTGTTGCTGCTAGCAACTGTGCTAAGTAGAGGTCTGCAACTTGTCCTCAGCCAAAAGGGATGTGAGCGTATCGACATATTCAGAGCCAGTTTGACCTGTCTTTCAAACAAGCCTGGCAGGTTTAGACACACGTCATGAAAAGAAATGATCACCATGTGATCCATGTGTTGGAGCTACTACAAGTTTACAAAAGGACTCAATGCCCTTTTGTAACAGCAAGGTATCTTGAGGTGATCAGTTGTTATTTGCAGTAAAGCTGGTGAGGTGTCTGAGCTGCAGGTCATGTCGAAGCGAGCGGATTGCATGGCAGCATGCTCAAAACCACGAGTTGTGTAGTTGAGACCCAAAACAAGCATGTAGATGATGCACCCTGGCCACAGAGAAGCTTTAGGCATCACCAGGAGCCATTAAATGTGCACTCTAGCTGTACCCCCCCAAACCCCCTGTGGCGTCACGGATTAACTCTGCTCACTGGAAGCTCCGATGGCTTAGTGAGAATAAGATTTGATGAATGTAGGATTGTTGACGAGGGGTTTAGTTTTGTAGTTGTTTTCTACAAGGGAAACTGTTTGACTTGATCATCTTTTTCTGATTTAAGTTGCTGCACCACAGACAAAGATGCTGGTTTGTTGTAGATTAGATAAAACATACTCTGCCACAACCAGCACAGATTCAGCTAAAGAAAAACGTTCAACTGTATTTGTTTTGGGAAAAAATCTTTCACCTGTGGTCTGACACAGGCGAGTCGAGCCTCGAGTCGAGGCACGACACAGGCGAGTCGAGGCACGACACAGGCGAGTCGAGCCTCGAGTCGAGGCACGACACAGGCGAGTCGAGGCACGACACAGGCGAGTCGAGCCTCGAGTCGAGGCACGACACAGGCGAGTCGAGGCACGACACAGGCGAGTCGAGGCACGACACAGGCGAGTCGAGGCACGACACAGGCGAGTCGAGCCTCGAGTGGAGCCTCGAGTCGAGGCACGACACAGGCGAGTCGAGCCTCGAGTGGAGCCTCGAGTCGAGGCACGACACAGGCGAGTCGAGCCTCGAGTCGAGGCACGACACAGGCGAGTCGAGCCTCGAGTCGAGGCACGACACAGGCGAGTCGAGCCTCGAGTCGAGGCACGAGACGAGCACATTTCGAGGCACGAGACGAGCACATTTCCAGGCACGAGACGAGTCTCGAGTCCAGGCACGAGTCGAGTCTCGAGTCCAGGCACGAGTCGAGTCTCGAGTCCAGGCACGAGTCGAGTCTCGAGTCCAGGCACGAGTCGAGTCTCGAGTCCAGGCACGAGTCAGTCTGTCAGTCAAACCTATTTGGAACATTTTCTTTTTAAATGAATAGTGTATTGTTTTTTTTATTTTATTTACACAAGTATAACATATTTGGGATCAATCCGCAGAAGTGGTTCCTAACAAATGCACTTTATCCTTTATAAGTAACTTATGCCATGCTAGCTTTTTAGGATATTACTGAGCCTTTACAAAATGAAGCCATGTAACTGTAGGGATGAATGGGCTTGTGGGTGAGTGCCACAGACTGTAGAGAAGTCAAAGTACTTGCACATTGTTGGTTTTGGTCTTTTCATGAGAGTTGTTGACTATAAAACAACTTATTCTAGTTGTTCTTATTATTAGTCTTATTCTATGAGTCAAGTTTTAGCACGTCTATAGCTCTAGTGAGGATGTTGTGTTTTGTTTAACAAAAAAGGTTGAAGAAATTCTCAGTCGCAGGTCAAACATTAATACACCAAAAAAATTATTAATTTATTTCTACCTTGTGTGAGGGACACACTAAGAAATATCAGTAACCAGATTTTTATAATGGGTGGCAGATGTCACTATCAGCACCTTGTATTTTTAGATACAATGCACAATGTCCTCCATCCTCCGCTGTGAGTTCTCTTGGACACCGACGGAGATCTGCGATTTCACGCGTCTGTTTGTTCGTTTGGTGAACCCAAGTTCAGGAGTCATTGTTCTCACCTGGCCAATTGAACTAAAGAAGGAAATGTTTCAGAGTAGTGAGAAACTGCTCCACACGTGTGTGGTGTGACCGCACCCTGAGTGATTTTATCTGTCAGACCACCAGCGTGGAGAAAGGCCTCATCTCCTCCTCATTTTGTTCTGTTCCACTGGGTGCAAAACCTTCTATTCAGCACCACGTGCAGAAGGGAGACTTTTAGTGGATTTTGGTTCTTTCTGCTTCAGTTAGCACAGAATCTGCTCATTAGGGTTTGAAAGGAGCTGGCCAGCTACGCCTTGCAGATGCTGTTTCATGGATTACACATCGATGAGTCAGTTGGTTTTTCGTTTCATTTCTCACGAGGTTGTTTCTGGCCCCCTCGCTCTTAAAATGGACACTGACTGATGAAGAAAAGACTTATCCTGACTAGTTTTCATTATCATCAGCGCCTCTCTCGTGGCAAACTTTGTTTTATGAGCACTGCAAGCCAGAGTCTTTTGTCTGTCATTTATCAAAATTGATATATACTCCACACAGTGAAATGCCGAGCAGGCCCGCTTTTATTTTTCTACTGCCTCGTTGCCACTGAAGCGTGAACTGCAGACATCACAGGACTTCCCACCCCTCACACCCACCCTGTGTTGCTTTTATTCACCACGTTTTATTCTTTTTTCCTCTCGTCCAACTATTTTATTTATTGCTCATTTCCTGACACTCGCACTT